AATGCATTTCGGCTTAAAGTGGCCGCCATTTGGCTATCGTTAATGAGATCATGAAAAAAATGCACATACATATTTGTGACATGATGTACTTGTGTGTGTGTGAAGTTTGAACTCGATCAATCCAAGCATGTCTCAGATACGGATCCAGAACTGAATTCTTTAAAACAAAATGGCCGCCAGTCGGCCATTTCGAACCCGATCCAAAAAAAAAAAAATGACGTGCATCAAGGTCCTATTATGTTTAATGTATGTACCAAATTTGAACAAAATCCGTCCATGCATAACTGAGATCCGGGTCCGGAATGGTGAAAATGTGCGATTTTGATGCATTTTCGGCCTTAAAATGGCCGCTATTCGGCTATCGTTAATCGGATCATGAAAAAAATGCATGTGCATATGTCCCATATAATGTGTGATGTATGAGTGAAGTTTGAACTTAATCGGTCCATGCATGTTCGAGATACAGGTGATCACGGACGCACGGACGCACAGACGCACGGACGGACGGACGCACACAGGGCAAAACATAAGTCCCCGTTTTCGGACTGCGTCCGAACGGGGACTAACAACTGCAATATTATTTCGAATACAGTTTACAATATACACAACTATAAATTAAGACCGTATTTAGGTTTGCTTTAATTTCTCTATTTTGATGTTTTGAGCATATTCACTGTGTCCAAATTTCACAAATTTGTTAAGGAGATGATAAGTTTTATTGTTATTTAACTTAGCGGATTTTACTTATCAGCGAAATTAAAACCCTGTGAATTGTTAATGTATTGACAGTATTTCTTACCATTAAAATTCTGGTGAAAGATAATATCACGTGTTTTTATATACCGGTATTCACATATTACTATCAAGCTTATCCCCAATATTGAAACACATAAAATGCGTGTACATATAATAACTTACTATTAAGTACACCAACAAAACAGCCCAAGACCAACATCAGTTCTTTCATGGACTCATTCCTTTGCATTAATATTTCTAGATATACATGTTTGTTGTGCAATATCTGATCGTATAAAATTGACGTGACCCTTTTCTAGTTAACATAGGGTTCATCACATATCCTCATCTTATAGTTTTTTGTTTTGAAAACTAATGCGTATCAATTAATGATTTGTTATAGAATGTTTGTTGCAACATGTTCTCTAGACGGTACCATTAGACTGTGGGGTAGTCGGCCTATCAATGATGAGGTGACAGGGAACAGTAAAAGTGTTCTGTCTAAGTTTATGGGTTCAAGGTATGTATGAATTATGAAGGGCTTGTATTGGTAAGCCCTCATGAGCTGTAAATTGAATTCCTTTTGTTTTTTTTCTTTGCTTGGCTAATCTAGCCCTCATGTACTATAAATAGAATGTATTTTGTTTTTATGAGTTGCTTGGCTACTTTCAATTTCTTTTGTTTTTATCAATGCTTGGCAAATTTCAAGCAATATGCCGCAATATATATTGTTGATTATTACTCAGTCGTGATTACAGGGATATACAAAAAATCACTTCACTGGTTATGAAATGCTAGTAAAATTAGTTGAAACAGGAAATTAGCAAATTTTAGCTCATTGCCATAACAGAGTTTATCCATACTTGCTAGTCATCAAAATCACTGCATCCTTAAATAGGCATCAAATCAATCTTTGGAACTCTATAGAGTTATCAGCAGTGTGCAGTCATGGCAACAAATACCGTACTTGCTCTATCTCCAATAGAAATATACTGGACCTATAATACATATGTGTATACTGGGTTCTCTGCTTTGCATTATAAAGTATTGGTTCCCAACTGTTAAATTTTGGATAAACAATACAAGCAATTAGCATAACAATGAATACAATAACAGTTATTATTATATTCTATTGTTATGTAAATTGGGTAATTCTGTATGCAATTTTTCTGAAGATAAAGCAAATAAAAGTACATGTTTTCCTTCCATTCTGGTTTAGTGCTCCAAACAGCCATGATGGGAGATCTCGAAGAAGAAGTGGCGATGTATCTGTATTTCATCCGGTTCTACTTGGTGAATGTTATGGTCATTCTGGCGCTGTGAACGCATTTGTAGATTTCGGTTATGACGGTTTAGTGTCATGTGGCACTGATCAACTATTACTGCTATGGAAGGTAAGTTAAAACAATTGTGTAGTTCTGACAGAAATCCATATTAATATCTGCATAATATTAAGCTTAATAATTATGTGTATATTAATAAACATCTGAAGATGACACAGCCCCCACTTGTCAGATGTGATTATAGTTGGCTATGAATTATAAAGTTTGAATGTATATGTATAAAACCGGGTAGGAAGATTAAGTTGAAAATCAAAAGTATGTTACTCAAAGTTAACAGCTAGGACATCTCTATTAAATTTGGTAAAATTTGCATCAATTTTAACAAAAATTCACAATCAATTGAATATGGAAATTCAATTGAGTCAATATTAAATAGCAAATACATGAACTATTAGTTCACAAGATATTATTAAAAGAATGGCTGCCACTAGTCTGCTATATTGATTAAAAAAAATTAATTAAATATGCAAATAGACCCATTAATTAAGTTGAAACTCAATATTGCATAGCACATATCGTATGTTGACAGATCAAGTAAGTCTATACCAAGTTTGGTTTCATTTGGACTAGTTCACAAGATATCAACAAAAATTCAAAATTCATTAAATATGCAAATGAGCTTGTCCAATTGAAACTCAATATTGCATAGCATATATCTTATATTGACAAATTAAGTCTCTACCAAGTTTGTTCTGATTTGAACTATTAGTTCACAAGATAATAACAAAAATTCAAATTAATAATTAAATATGCAAATAAGCTCAACATTGATTCCTTGAAAAAAAAAATCAATGTGCATCTGTACCAGTGGTCACTCTGTCTTTGTACCAAGTCTCAGCAAAATCGGTTCAGGCATCTCCGAGAAATGATGATGGACACACCCAAAAAACTGGATTTTGACATTCAAAATGGCCGCCAGGCAGCCATATTTGATCAAATACCTCCTTACTGTGTCTTTGTATCTAGTATCATTGAATTCAATCAAGGCATCTCTGAGAAATATCAATGGACAAACAAAAGCCATGATTAACAATCAAAATGGCTGTCAGTCGGCCATATTTGATCATTTCAAAAAAGTAAAACAACTGTATGGGTGGTCCCTTTGTCTTTGTAACAAGTCTCAACAAAATTGGTCAAGCCATATTTGATCGAATCGGAAAATAAATTTACGTGCACATGTATGATTGACCACTATGTCTTTGTCCTAAGTTTCAAAAATTCAGTCCAGCCATCTCTGAGAAATCACTCTGGACTGACTGATGGAATGGCGGACTGACAAAGGCGAAACTACAAACCCCCTCCCGGACTTTGTCCGTGTGGGGTCTAATAATCACATTAAGACAGTAATTAAATTAATTACCATTAGTAATTAAATAAATGCATAATTGATGACATAATTAATTTTATGATGTAGATGTAATTCTTGAATTTCTGTGTTTATATTTCTCATATTAGGATGGTGAAATACAGTCAAGTAAAAGGAATGACATAATCCGACAAATGTTGAGATGGAATGTAATGCAATAACATATAAAGTTACTGCATGGAAACTATGTGATTCAGTGTATAGCTGGTATATTGCCATAAAGAATGGGAACTATTTGATGCAGTGTATATCTGGTCTATTGCCATAGAGAATGGGAACTATGTGATGCAGTGTATAGCTGGTCTATTGCCATAGAGAATGGGAACTATTTGATGCAGTGTATAGCTGGTCTATTGCCATAGAGAATAGAAACTATGTGATGCAGTGTATAGCTGGTATATTGCCACAGAGAATGGGAACTATTTGATGCAGTGTATATCTGGTCTATTGTCATAGAGAATGGGAACTATGTGATGCAGTGTATAGCTGGTCTATTGCCACAGAGAATAGGAACTATGTGATGCAGTGTATAGCTAGTCTATTGTCATAGAGAATGGGAACTATGTGATGCAGTGTATAGCTGGTATATTGCCACAGAGAATAGGAACTATGTGATGCAGTGTATAGCTGGTCTATTGCCACAGAGAATAGGAACTATGTGATGCAGTGTATAGCTGGTCTATTGCCATAGAGAATGGGAACTATTTGATGCAGTGTATAGCTGGTATATTACCATAGAGAATGGGAACTATTTGATGCAGTGTATATCTGGTCTATTGCCATAGAGAATAGGAATTATTTGATGCAGTGTATAGCTGGTCTATTGCCACAGAGAATAGGAACTATGTGATGCAGTGTATAGCTGGTCTATTGCCACAGAGAATAGGAACTATGTGATGCAGTGTATAGCTGGTCTATTGCCATAGAGAATGGGAACTATTTGATGCAGTGTATATCTGGTATATTACCATAGAGAATGGGAACTATTTGATGCAGTGTATATCTGGTCTATTGCCACAGAGAATAGGAACTATGTGATGCAGTGTATAGCTGGTCTATTGCCATAGAGAATGGGAACTATTT